AGAAAAACATATAGAATGGGGGCAGGGTTCTGTTCTTATCTCCACAGGAAAACACTCATCTTTGAGAAATTCAAGGGACCCTGGATGTTTGGATACTGACAGATGGAAAAATACCTGCCCAATAGGAAATATCAAGACAACTGAATGGATTGTGTAAGTAATATTAAACCATATTTCTAAATTTATAAAGCTGGTTTTGAAGTTGGACTCTGGCTCAGTCCCTCTCCAATTCCAAGCCTGTTAGTAAGAGAAAAACCCAGAGTTTCTGGAGTTTCTGTCTCATGTCAAGAGCCATGATATGGGACAGAAAGAAATATGAGTTTAGAAAACATCTTTGCTTTTCTTCATATCTATCATACTTTTCATTGAATATATCTATCATGTCTTTCATTGAATATATATATATGTCTATATATGTCTATATGATTAATGTTTAAGTTTTTCATAATGAACAATGAGTTTTTCCTGAAGTGACATTTGAAGTTTCCAGGAAGAAGATGGGGCCCCATAACAACAACTCCACCTGGTTGATATGACGTCATGATACTGATAGCGCTACTACAAGACCTGCTTTTGGTACCAGCTGCACAAGACAGTTCCAACTTGGTTAGCTGAAATGGTGCACATCTTATACAACATTTTGGCCAGACCTGCACAAAATACTCAGAGACTATTGGCAATTTTAAAAGACATTGATCTTGAAATTTAACCATCATTTCACTTTCACAGGATCCCCCAGAAAGAACGTCGCCCCCATGACAGCTGGAAGTAATTCTAGAGGACGACGTCCCCTTTCCCAATAAAACTTGCCCTTGGGTTTAGGGACATCATTTAGGGGTTGATTATAATTAGTATACGATTGAGGGTTGGGGGAGGAATTTTAAACGCTCAGGGATCATTTTGAAAAAAAAAAAAAAAAGAGGGATGATGGGATAATAGATTTGTAATTGTGAGTTACTGTTTTTAGACAAATACATTGGTATAGATTCTTGTATATTGATACAAAGTTAAATTATATTGACTATTGTACGCATGCATGTTTCTACCTCTGTTTAAAACATTTTTTTATGTATTGACATATATTGTATTGATATATATATATATTGTATATATTTACCATATTGCAGTGTACATTTCTACCTCTGATTAAGATACTTATATAATGACTGTGTATTGATATATATTTACCTACTGCAATGTTTATTTGTACATTGTTTATATTTGGAGGTCATTGTCCTCATTTGTTTCACAGTCGTTTATTGTCTTAGTCTTTAAGTTAGATAGATATTGAGAATTATATAGACTAATAGTCATCTAAGTTTGTCATTTATAATAGACTAATCAGGTTCTTTAGATATATAGAGATTATACTCAGTATAGATAGATAATCTTCAACTTCTTCAAAGAGCTGTAGAAAATGGCCTTTAATCTAACTCAGAGTTTTGTGGTAGTGAGACACAATTGCTCCTGGCAACACCACTCTATTCCCGAGAGAATGTTGAGCACCAAAGACACTCCACCTGGAGCCTTCTTTTTGGCAGAACTGGCCTTTGGGCAAAGAAATGCCCATACCTCAATGACTGACAAAGATACAGAGCATGCATCAGTGGATAAAACAGGGCTGTCATATCCTGCCAAGACAGGGTAAGATAGTTTTGAAAAGTTGCTTGCCTTTGAAAATGGTATGTCAGTTATGTTAGGCCTTAGCCAAAGTTGGTTGCTTCAACGCTGCTAACGTGATTTTGGGTGATTGCCCAGGTAGCCAGTTGTCTCTGTGATTTGTTGCATGTTTTGGAAGTTGTTTTACTGAACTTCCTAATTACCCAGGTAACATTATTTCCCTTCTCAGATCTTTGATGGGGTTGAAGACTATATAAATGTAGTTACTTTCTCTCATGACTTGGCCAAGTTATTTATTATACAAGACCTAAGCTAGTTAGAATAGGATATTTGTACTTATTGTATATAATTTCATAGTAGGTTTAGAACTCTCTTATTTAAACAAAAGGGGGAGGTGTTGCGGGAGGTCCTCCCACTCCTCCAGCCTATCACCGCTGAGGTACCAGCCCATTGGGGCGTGGTTTCTCTCCCTTTAAAAAAGCGGCCACTTCCCTCTCCTCTCTCTCTTCACTTCCTGCTCCGCCTGCGACTAGACTCCTTTCCTGGTTGCATAGAGGGCTGTTGCCTGGGACAGTGATCTGTAAGTTTTTCCCCCTTTTAATAAATACCACCCTAATAATCATAACCCCGAATTGGTGTGGCATTGTTTGTGACTTACGCCTTCAGGGAGAAGTAAATTTTTTCCTAAATTCTTTTCTTTTCTGTCCCATACTAGATAGTTCTTGATATGAGACAGAAACTCTGATTTTTTTTTTAACAACATGCTTGAATTTAGAGAAGAACAGACACTATCCAATTCCAAAGTCACCTTTGATTTTTAAGTGATTTATGTTTTTATTGTACTAAGAAATATATATATTTATAATAAATAATATATATAATAAAATTTTATAATAAATAATATATATCATAAAATTTTGCACTGTAGAGGATATGGTACCATAAGTCAGATTCCTCTTTGGTTGGTGATTCTTTCTGGATAGCTATCTTTTCTTCTTTAGGCATCTAGAAGTCTAAGTTCTCTCAACTTTTTGAAGGTGAGTATTTTCCTGCAAAGACAAGATCAGAACCAACCCTTATGAGGTTTCTTTACCATCTGTAAGACTGTCACCTTTGTGGATGAGCTGTCATTTCTCTTTCTCAAGAGGTCTCTCTTTTTCGAACTAAATTTTTATTAATTTTGATGGTATCCATAGCCTCTCTTCTCCTGTGGAAACAAGAGCAGAACCCCTTCCCCAACATAGCACATCTCCTGGTTTCCAATATGAGGCCAACACATCCTTGAAATACACTGGATGATTTAATTTAGTTCTTTCTATTATCCAATGTCTCTCTACTGATTGTTCCCTTCTCATTAGCATTAAGAAAATTCAAGGTTAATAAAGCATTATGCAATCTATTTCTGGGGATATTTTCCATCCCTTTCTGTTTGTTTAATGTATCCTTTATAGTTCAATTTGATCTTTCTATGACTGCCTGACCCCTAGAATTGTTTGGTATAGCTATAATATGCTTTATATTATAATAAGCAAAAAACTGTTTCATTTTCTTAGAGACATATGCAGAACCATTATCTGTCTTTATTTGTGCAGGTATACCCATGATGGCCCTAACTTCTAATAAATGTGTGATTACTGAATCAGCCTTTTCTGAGCTCAAGATAGCTGCCCATTGAAAACCTGAATAGGTGTCAATGGTGTGATGTACGTATTTTAATTTTCCAAATTTTGCAAAGTGAAACTGTGAGATTTCATTCCTTTGAGTACCCTTTGGGTTATTCCCTGCAGTTATCAGTATTTTGTTATAGAATGAGCAAGTAGGACATTTTATTATAATCTTCTTAGTTTGTTGCCATGTAATAGACAACTCTTTCTTTAAACCTTTGCTATTGACATGATTTTTTAAATGAAATTCTGAGGTCTTCAGCACAGTTTCAATCAGTAATCAATCAATTTTTGCATTACCTTGAGCTAGAGGACCTGGCAGACCCGTATGGGATCAGATTTGTGTTATGTATATGGGACAAAGCTTATTCCTGATTATATCTTGAACCTGAATGAATAATGAAGTCAATTCTGTATGATTTGATATAAATTAAGTGGTTTTAATATGCAAAACAACTCTTTCTGTATATTGTGAATCAGGAACTATATTTAGTTTCTTTAAAATCCCTTAGTACCATGAGACTAGCATAGAATTCTGACTTTTGGACAGAATTATAAGGGCTTTATTCTACCTGACTTAAATCTTTTGATTTGTAACCTGCCTTTCCTAATTTATTTGTATTAGTATAGAATGTATGGGCTATGGTTATTGGTGTGTCACATACAATGTGGGGAAGAATCCAAGTAGTTCTCTTTATAAGGTTAAGTCTATCACTTTTGGGATAATTGCTATTAATCACTTCTAACAAATTGGCACAAGCTCTTTGCCAGGGTTTGTCATCTTCCCATAATTTTTTAATTTCATTAGTAAAAGGTACTATAATCTCTGCTGGATCTAGTCCAGCTAATTGATGAAGTCTCAATTGTCCTTTTATAATTAATTCAAAGACCTTTTCCACATAAATTTTTAATTTTTTACTTGGTTTATGTGGTAAAAAGATCCATTATAAGATAATATTTTCCCTCTGCATTAAAATTTCTATAGGGTAAATTCTGGTGGGCTATATGACTAGAATGCAGTTAAGATTCAGATTCACCAAATCCACATGTGCTTTCTGTAATTTCTCTAATCCACATGTGCTTTCTGTAATTTCTCTTCAATCAAAGTTAATTCTTTCTCAGCTCCACCTGCTAATTCCCTGGGACTATTTAAGTCTTTCTCACCATCTAAGGTTTTGTTCAAATGAATTATTAGATTGGGTGTTATCCCAACAGTGGGTCGTAGATTGGAAATGTCTCCTAGCAATCTTTGAAAGTCATTAAGAGTCCACAATGGGTCTCTCCTAATTTGTGCTTTTTGTGTTCTAATTTTCTGTAAACCTATTTTATAACCTAGGTAATTGCTAGAATCTCCCCTTTGTATTTTTTCAAGAGCAATTTGTAATCCCCATTTAAGCAATTCTTTCTTTACTTCTTCAGACATTCTTTCTAAAGTATCTACATTTGAATCAGATAGCAAAATGTCATCCATGTAATGATAAATTATAGATTTAGGCAATTGTTTATATATTATTTCCAATGGCTGACTGGGTGGGGCTATTGAACATACTACTGTATCACCTGGCTAGATTTGGTTCTGGAAATCATTCCTGAGAGCGGAAGATTTTTGGGAAAATTAAACACCACTTGCTAGCACTATGTATCCTGTCCTGTGTTGCCCTGGGAAGCCTGCTCTTGAAGGCTCCTTTCCAATGGGAGTCTATGGTGTTCTTTCAGGATTGACATGTATGCTGATGGCACCCTGGACCTGATGATAATGATCGCCCAGGCTGCATTTAAACCCCCGAAGGAAAAAGAGGAGAGCCATGCTTTAATAGTGAAGAGAGCTAAAACCCGTTACTTCCCTGTCTTTGAAAAGGTAAGCTTGTATTCTTCCTAATATGCAGAATATTTAAGAATGAGTGTTCAAAAAGGTAAGTGAAATATGGGTACCAGTGGGTAGAGGCACCTGCTGTCAGGACTAAAACCTTGAATTCAATCTTGGAAGCTCAGATGGTAGAAGGAGAGAACCAACTCCTGTAAATTGTCCTCTGGCCTCCTCATGCCATGGCAAGCATATCCCCCCGTATACAGTCACACAAAATAAAACACATGTATTAAAGGACTGGCTGTGTGAGAGAGTTCCTGCTGTGGGGTCTCTGGTGGTTTGAATGAGGTAGCTTTCATAGGCTCGTATATTTTGAATACTTGGTCCCCTATTTATGGAACTGTCTGGGAAGAATTAGGCAGTGTGGTCTTATCGGGGGGGAGGTATGTCACTGGGGGCAGGCTTTGAGGTTTCAAAGCCCACACCATTTCTAGTGAGTTCTCTCTGCCTCATGCTTTTGTCTCAAGATGTAAGGTATCATCTACTGCTCTAGCACCACGCCAGCTTACCTGCTGCTATGATCTCTGCCACGATTATCATAGATGCTAATCCTCTGAAACTATAAGCCCCAAATAAACTCTTCCATCAGAGGCTGATTTAGTCATGGTGTCTTTTCCTAGCAATAAAAAAGTAACTAAGACAGGGTCAAAACTTAAGAAAATATTTACTTTTTTATTTTATGTGATTGGGTGTTTTGCCTGCAAGTATGCCATGAACTTCATGAATGCCTGGTACATGTGAAGGCCAGAAGAGGGCATCTGATCCCTTGGAATTGATTACAGTTGGTTGTGGGTTTGGGCATTGAACCCAGGTCTTTGGAAGAGCAAACAATGTTCTTAACCACTGAGTCATCTTTCTAGTCCCTAGGGTCAAACTTTAATAATATGGGTTCCAAAATTATGGAACCTCTAATAAAACAATTTCTGTTCTGTTTTTAAAGAATCAATAAGCCACTAGCCCAAGGTATCAACCACCTTGAATTCACCTTGAATCCAGTACTGGAAGCTAACTGCCTGAATAAAGAAGACAAAAGCTTTTAAATTGGAAACTTTTGTGCAGCATTCAGTGGGAAATGCTAATGAAACTGTTTTCACAACACATCTTGAAAGATTGCAAGTCTCTAGGGCAGTGTGTGGAATGGTGTGGAAGACCTGTTAGGGCAGGGCCCACAACTAAAGGTTTTGTAGGATATTGTGTAAACTGAGATGCAGAGTTCTGTCAGTCCTTCAGTGTTCTAGATGAGTTCCTTTGATTCAAGGACAAGGCCATGAAGCACTTTCATCTAAATGTCACAGAGTTTAGTCTGCTTATGCTGTAGATTGTAAACCAGGGAGTCTACCCAATACTTCTCAAAACATTTAAAAATGACTCATTTGTTCAAATCTGGATCAAGCTTAACTTTACAATCCTAATTAGAAGACTTAAGGTTCCTTTTTCTCTGTTAGCTACCCCTTTCTTGTCTCCCCTCCTTTTCTATTGCATTTTTATGTGGTTTCATGATTTTTAGTCAACACAACCTATTCCTCTATTCCTCAATGTCCTGGAATCTGGAATTATAATCTTGATTGGACTCAGGTCTAACTATTTGGCCCCCAGCATACTTCATAGATGGCACTGTGTAAATCATCAAGAGGCACAAGTTGTCCGATGGTTGTTCTTTGTACAATAGACAATGCCAGCCCATGATGGTTTATTAGTAGATGTGAAATATTGACCTCTCTCTCTCTCTCTCTCTCTCTCTCTCTCTCTCTCTCAATCATCTATCTATCTATCTATCTATCTATCTATCTATCTATCTATAATCAATCTATCTATCTATCTATCTATCTATCTATCTATCTATCTATCTGAGACAGGTTCCCTGCACTCTAGCCTAGCCTCATATTTAACTATGTAGTCCAAGCTGGCTATGGCCTTAGTCCTCCTGTCTCCCCCTACGTATGTGACTGCAGGTGTGTTTCGCCATGCCCAGCTCTCTTCCCTCATTTAAATAGACTATTCTCTACACAAAGATACTCCCAAACCAAGTGCAATAGGGCACTCCTGTATTCTCAGAACTTTGGAGATCAGACAGAGGAGAATGTGGAGTTCAAGATCAGCCTGAGCTACATAGCTAGACAGAGACGGAGAGAACATGAATCTCTCTCCTACATGACATACTTAGTTACTCTGGAGTGTGGTTTCTATAAAAGATGGAGATGCATGCTTTCTTTTTATTTAATACATAAAATAATTACTTAGCATATTCAAGTAGGAACAATTAGGGTGCTATTGGCATTATTATGGTTTTATCTTATAAGTAGCTTGATACTACTTTCTCTCATAGATTTCCGCATGCTTGTCTTAGTCGCTGTCCCGTTGCTGTGAAGAGACACCATGACCATGGCAACTCTTATATAAGAAAACATTTAACTGGGGCTATTTACAGTTTCAGAGGTGTAGTCCCCATCATGGTGGGGAACATAGTGGCATGCAAGCAGACGTGGTGCTGGAGAAATAGCTGAGAGTTCTACATCTGGATCCACAGGCAGTAGGAGGAGCTTGGGATGAGCTTTTGAGACCTCAAAGCCCAAGCTCAGTAACATACTTCTTCCAACAAGGCTACTGCCCCTAATCCTTTCAAAGAGTGCTACTCCCTAGTGACCAAGTATTCAAATCTACAAATCTATGGGGGGGGGGGGGAGTCATTCTCTTTCAAACCACCACAATGTTTATTGTGCTCAATTTATTTGAAGATCTTAATCAGAAACTATAACTATTCCCCATCATCAAAAGAGAAGTGTAAGAATTGGTTTCATATATTTCTGCCCAGTTTTTCAATATAAATAGATATTTATAATAAATAGATATTTTCAATTATAGATAATTGTGGTTTGTTGAAGTTTCTTACACCCCTGTTCGATCATTTAGATGATTTTCCAAAGCAGAATTTCTATGGAGCTATTACTTGGCATTTACAAATGTCAATCCTGTTACTTACTTGCTTAAGACCTTTTTCTTTTCATTAATTTTTTTTTAGATCTAAATTTATTCTGCCTGCCTGCATGTTTGTGTATCATGCGTGTATCTGATGCCCATAGAGGCCAGAAGAGGGCGCCAGATGCCCTGGAACTGGAGATACAGAGGCACATGTGCTGTTAATCACTGAGTAACTTATCCAGACCCCTTCCCAAGTTCATATATATAGAATGAGACTTCATTCTATAGTTTACGTATTTGCTACTCAAAGCTGATTCTGGTATCTTTTTATATCCGCTTTCCACTGGGTACTGAAAAATTAGCTTTTTTTTTTTTCTGGTTTGGGTTTCTGATTCCACTGGGGACTTATTTTGATTTGTGTCCCAACAGCTGGGTCCCCAATAATCCTAGCTCCCATGTGTCCCTGTACTGGTGGGTACAGTTTTTTTACTCCCTCCATGCTTTCCAGAAAGTGCCAGCCCTTCACCACATAGGCCTTGATAGTCACTGACTCATTCCCAGAAGATTCCATCATTTCACGGTACGTGCAAGAGAGTTGACTTCATCCGTTCTTGCTAGCTTTGGAGATCATCAAAGACTCCTCAGTGAGCCTCAGAGTACAGTGTTCAGACGGGCAAATCATCATTGCTTCCATTAAAGTATGTCTTTCTTTTCTGTAGATTTTGAAAGACCACGGGGAGGATTTTCTTGTTGGCAACCGGTTCAGTTGGGCAGACATACAGCTGTTAGAAGCCATTTTGATGGTGGAGGAACTCAGCGCTTCCATTCTGTCCGACTTCCCTCTGCTGCAGGTAGGATGCTTGTCGGTACAGATATGCCTTCAAGCCAGACTTAAAACTTGAAGAGAAACTATCTCAAAGGCATCGTCAAACTTATACTGTAGGATCTGTTAGGGAACGGCACTTAATATGATGGGAAAATGGGTGTTTGAGGTTCTGATATGAAGGTTTAAACTGCTGGGGCACACAGCTCAGAGGCAGAGCACATTATACACATGTATGAGGTCCTCGATTCAGTCCCTGGTAGTTGCAAAACAAATAATGAACATTCAGGACTGTCTTTTCTTCTTCCTTTTCAGCACTCTTAACATTGTTTACTCGCGACGAGAGTCTTTGTCCTTTTAGCCTAGCTCCTATCAGATGATGGTGTCCACTTTTAGTGGTCCTGATGCTGGGTCATCTCTCAGTCAACATTGCCTTAGTTTCCACAAAGAATCCCACTGTTGCCACACTTATTTGGCCCCTGCTCTAGCTCCTCACATTTTTCTCAGAGAGAATCATTAGGTTGTGTCTATTAAGAACAATGTTTTTAATTAGTTTCTCTAAGGGTGTCTTACCGGGTAAACAGACCACATTTAAGGGCGGACTCCATGCCCAGCAGTAGACGGCCAACACCAAATGAACTCAGTGGCATTTTTGGAGGTTTTTCTTTTTAACCTTACTAGTCTTTTGCTTGTATATTATGGTTTCTGATTTTGAGAATTTTTTTATGGGTTTTGTATGTGTGTATGTGTGATGCATTTCTCCGGCTCTTTCTTAGTTTTTTTCCTTTTTATTGCTGTTTATTTGTCTTTTATTTGCCTTTCATTTTCTTGGAGTGGGGGAGGCTGGAGAAATAGCTCAGAGGTCCAGAGGTCTTGATTCAATTTCCATTTTTTTTTTTTTAACTCATGGTGGCTCATAACCATCTGTAATTAGATCTGGTGCCCTCTTCTGGCATGTAGACATACATGCAGGCAGAAAACTATATACATAATAAATAAATCTAAAAAAAAAAGAGAGAGAAGGCTTGGAGTAGGATGGGTGAGGAGAATCTGGGAGGAAGGAGGTAGGAAGGGAAAACCATAATCTGAATATATTGTATGAAAATAACTATTTTCAATAAAATATTTAAAAATGAATTAGTTGTCATTTTAATGTAAAGAATTTTAGGTACTGTGAATTATAAATGAAAATGTGTATTTAAAAAAAAAGAACAGCACTTGGCAGTGGTGGTGCACTGGAAGGCAGAGGCAGGTGGATCTCTGTGAGTTTGAGGCCAGCCTGGTCTACAGAGTGAGTTCCAGGACAGGCTCCAAACCTACAGAGAAACCCTGTCTTGAAAAACCAAATATAAAAACAAACAAACAAAACCCCAGCATTTCTTCCTTCTTATTACAAAAGAAAAGGTGTGTTTATGCTCCTACAGTATCTAAACCAAAAGATAAACGGGGAAAAAAAATATAATTCTACAGGCAGGAAACTTCTTTACCTATCACTTTGTATTTTCCCTAAAATAGGATTATAGTAAACATTGGATTTGTGGTCTGTTTTTAATGTTCTTTTCAATAATCATGAATATATCTATATGTCAACAAATATTCTTCTGTGGCATAATGTTTATTTTCATTGAGCAATAGAACAATATAAAAAAACCCCAGCAAAGGCATATAAGAAAGGTTCAAGTTGAGAAATTCCCATCTCTGTAATGACCCCATCTTCCTGTCCCCGTTGTCCTTTTACTCTTTCTTGTGTGTTCTCTCAGTGTTCCTATGTATAAGACATAAGCAAATATACAAAAGTATTCTTGCCCTAGCTATAATTTTCTTACACAACTCTTGCTTCATTTTAAATTTAATTTCACATGCATGTATGTCTGTGTACACATGTGTGCAGATGTCCTCAGAGGCCAGAAGAAGGTGGTAGGTCACCTACAACTGGAATTACAGATGGCTGTGAGCTCCCACACGGGTGCTGAAAATCAAACCTAGGTCCTGTGGAAGAGCAACCAGTCAACTCTCCGCTCCCTTTGTTTTTACAAAAAAAAAAAAAAAAAAAAAAAGCTTTCTAGATATTTTCCTCCATCTACCAATATAGAGAACTCTTTTTTCCTTTCATATGTTATGTTTAGAGTTCCTGGCTTAAATTTCCTTTAAGAATTGTATGCACACATGCATGCACTCACATGCAGACACATGAATCCCTCTGCACACACGCTACTGGCACGAAATGTATCATTTTATATGCTCCAAAACATAGGATTACACTAAATATTCTGTGGCCTGTTTATATAGCTTCACAGTGATCATGAAATGTTTTCATGTATGCATTTTTATATGTGTAGCCATTTTCCTTTCTCATGTATTTTGTTGCTTTAAAGGCTCTTTTATGAAATTTATTTTTGATAATTCCTTTCACGTGTATACTACTTTCTGACTACTCTTATCCCTCCTCTGCCCTCATCAACCTTCCCCACAAATCCCTTTGTTTTGCTTTGTGACCACTGAGTTTAACTGGGTCATTCCATGAATATGGATGTGGAACAGTCCGTATGGGCATGGTGAGCTCAGCAGTGACTACATAGCTGAAGACAATGGGGTCCCCTCCCCAAGTATCTCTAAGTCCTCCACCATTCAGGACTGACTGTTGACAGGGACAATCTCCCACCCCTTTATTGATTAATTAATTAATTAATATACTTATTTATGATAGGTTCTCACTGTATAGCCCTGGTTGGCCTGGAGCTCATTATAAAGGCCAGGCTGGCCTTGAACTCACAGACTTCCTGAGTGCTTGGATTAAGGGCATGTGCTATCACACCTGGATCACCTGCCTTTTCATTTTTAAAAATACCTTGTTTTTTTTTTTTTTTCCCTCTGCCTCCATTTCCTCTCATTTGTATTCATTTCTATATCTCTGCCTGCCTAGGGCCCTCTTTTCTATACCTGCACACCTTTTCGGGGAGACCCTTCCAGGCAGAGCGCGCTGGGGTTAGCCTTTGCTCTTGCACTGTGCAGGCTCCGCCCTGATCCTCCTTATGGAGCCAGTGGATGAAAAGCTGTTTCCTGGCCTCTTTCACCAGGAATGAGAATTCTCATCCCTCCTCCATAGTCTGGGAACAAACAAACCCAATTCAACTTGCGGTCACCAGAGGGCGCAATGAGACCCAGGCAAGGTTTAAAGCCAGTTATGGAGCCCTCCCAAAAAAAAAAAAAAAACAAAAAACCTAATTTCTGAAATGCCTTTTCTTCTTCTTTTTTCTGTCTGTGACCTCTTCATCACCTTTATTCCAAGTGCAGCACAATTTTGTTTTTTTTGTTTTTTTTTGAATTTCTATAGTTTTTTTAAATTTATTTATTTATTAAGGATTTCTGCCTCCTCCCCGCCACCGCCTCCCATTTCCCTCCCCCTCCCCCGATCAAGTCCCCCTCCCTCATCAGCTCGAAGAGCAATCAGGGTTCCCCGACCTGTGGGAAGTCCAAGGACCGCCCACCTCCTTCCAGGTCTAGTAAGGTGAGCATCCAAACTGCCTAGGCTCCCCCAAAGCCAGTACATGCAGTGTGATCAGGGAAATGCAAATCAAGACAACTTTAAGATACCATCTTACCCTGTTAGAATGGCTAAAATAAAAAACACCAATGATAGCCTTTGCTGGCGAGGTTGTGGAGAAAGGGGTACACTCATCCATTGCTGGTGGGAATGCAAACTTGTGCAACCACTTTGGAAAGCAGTGTGGCGGTTTCTCAGGAAATTCGGGATCAACCTACCCCTGGACCCAGCAATACCACTCTTGGGAATATACCCAAGAGAGGCCCTATCATACAACAAAAGTATATGCTCAACTATGTTCATAGCAGCATTGTTTGTAATAGCCAGAACCTGGAAACAACCTAGATGCCCTTCAATGGAAGAATGGATGAAGAAAGTATGGAATATATACATATTAGAATACCTTGTTTTTTTAAAAAAAATGTGTGTGGGTGTTTAGCTGTATGTAAATCTATGTGCCATGTGCACACAGTGCCCAAAAGAGACCAGAAGAATATACTGGATTCCATAGCCAGGCGGTGGTGGTGCATGCCTTTAATTCCAGCACTCAGGAAGCAGAGGCAGCCAGATCTCTGAGTTCGAGGCCAGCCTGGTCTACAAGAGCTAGCTCCAGGACAGGCTCCAAAACTACAGAGAAACCTGTCTCAAAAAACAAAAACAAAACAGCAACAAAAGAAGAGAGACTATATATAAAGGCCTGAGCTCCTCTTTTATGGGAAAACTGATTTCTTAACGATTGTGACAGCTATTGAGCTCCTGACTCCACTGCTTCCTGTTTTAGGCATTTAAGACAAGAATCAGCAACATTCCTACAATTCAGAAGTTTCTGCAACCTGGGAGTCAGAGGAAGCCACCTCCAGATGGCCACTATATTGAGGTGGTCAGGAACGTTCTGAAGTTCTAGTGGCAGCAGGCCTTAAGGTGGCCACAGCGAGTATCCAATTTCAGCATCACCGTAGACCAGCTACAGAGCTTTCCAAAGCAAGGTATAGATCCTAGGAGGCTTCGAGAAGGAAAACCTTTCTGTTATCAGCAACCCATGTCAATTAAATATGGTGAAAAATTGTTCTGTTTGGTTTGGTGTTTGTTTTAAGCTTGTTGGTTGTGGATGACAGTCTCTGAACGTCATGAAACCAGAGGTCCTTATGAAGAGGTGACCGGCAGACAGACATACTCAGGACACTGGAATATGTGGGGCATGATTGGTGTCTGTAAGAAGAGCAGGATGGTGACCGGGGAAGGGAGACTGCAGACGTGGGAGCAGAGGATCACTTCAATACCTACACTGGTTTCTGGAAACTAGGGACTGGAAATAGGACAATCAATACTGGAATAGCAGTGCTGTCTAGTAAGCCCTGTGCATTAGTCGGAGCGAAAAGGATATCTGGGATAGTTTTGAAACCCTTTTAAGGAAAAGAACCTTGGACATCAGGCAGCCCTCAACCAGAGCCACTGAAACTCAGGTCTTGCTTTGTCGAAACAATTCCAGAGACCAGTGGGATCAACCCAAAGCCAATGCAATACTTTCTTATTCAAACTGAACAAAAGCTTCCTCGGTTTTGATGTACCTTCTTTAGCTATTGGGAACTATTCTGTTCCCAAGTCATACACTGAAGCTGGATCCCATGCAGGGCACATTGAATGGGACTAGAGGAGCTGGTGATATCCCCAGAGCAGCTGTGACTTCTGGTGGGCTCTTTGGTCTGGAGAGATTTTCTGCCAGTGGTTTGGGGAAATGTGACTACCAACTCCAAACTTCTAAGACAGCCAGTCTATTCTTTAAAATTACATTTATATGTGTGTGTGTGTGTGAGTGTGTGTACATACATATGACACAGAGTACATGTGGAGGTCAAAGACAACCTTTGGGAGTCACCCTGAGGGATAGGGATTGAACTCTGGTGGTCAGGCTTGTCCAAGGACTTCCAGCTGCCGAGTGATCCTACCAAGCCCCTCTCCTGTCATTTTCTGATGCCTATCATGCCTTGTAACTTAATGATTTGGATTTCCTTCCATTTCCTTGGGGCCACCACCGAGCACAACTACATGAATATCACACCCTGCTCCACTCACTCCTCATCCTTTCTTCCGCTGATGAGAGGATCAATATGACAGCCAGGCCCTTTGTAGTCAAATGCTCTACAACTGAGCTATACCCCCCAGCGAGGCCCCTCTGCAGACCCCACCCCAGGACACGTGAACATGAGCTTTACCCTCAGAGTGGTTTTCTGTAGTCATCAGCTTTGCGTAACTGTAATGTGTACCCAAAGCAATTAATTTACTAAATTCATATTTTTATATTTTTTTAAAAATACTTCAAGATCCCGGGCGGCAGTAGGCAGCAGAAATGCTGTAGGTCCCAAATGATGGTAGCGGGCCATGTGGCAGCAGACAGCGGGCCCTGGGAGCAGCCAGTCCCAGGTAGAAAGGGCTGCCAGTCCCCCAGCAGTGGCTGGTTCCAGGCAGAGAGACACATTGCAGGCGGGCAGGAGACAGAGACATGGATAGACACGAGATGCAGAGTGAGGTTGAATATTTATTTAGGGAGTTATGAAGGGGAAAGGGAGAAGGGGGGCAGAGAGAGAGAGAGAGAGAGAGAGAGAGAGAGAGAGAGAGAGATTGAGAGAAGGAGAAAGACAGAGAAGGGGGAAAGCAGAGAAGTAGGGAGAGAGGCAGAAGCAAAGCTGCCTCTCCGAGAGGAAGATGGGAAAGAGCATGCTCAGGCGGGAAGCTGAAGATCAGCCTGCCTCAGCGGATGAGGGAGGGAGTGGGCGTGGTTTGTCTCTTAAAGAGACAGAAAACCATAACACATATTCCTTTCCTCATCTTGTCAAATACTATACTTCCGACTGTCTGTAAGCCGGGGACCACCTGAGCCTCTTCATTCTTCCTCTGTGGTTATTTTTGGCTCCATATGTGTTGGGTGGAGCCTCATCCAAACCCACAGAAGTTATTATGGATTTCTGAGGAAAAGCCAATCTCAGAAAAGTCAACAGCATGAAGGAGCTTTTGAGGCTCTACTTCCCCTTCTCCATTGTTAGGATCTGAGTTTTGGCTAAAGAGTGGGGTACTGAGTCTGCATGGCCACAGGAATAGAGGTTTGGAATTCAGGAGATCCTCAGTCATGCTCAAAAGGTACTGGGACAACAATTCTGTCATCACCATTGGTCCCTATCTTGTCTAGGCTTTCTATTGCTTTGGTGAAACACCACGAGCAAAGGCTGGGGAGGAAAGGGTTTCTTGGACTTATGATTCCACATTGCTATTCATCACTGAAGGACCAACAGCTCAGGGATGGAGCCACTAGCAATAGGCTAGCTCCTCCCTAATCAATTGTTAATTAAGAAAATGCCCTACAACTAGATCTTATGGAAGAATTTTCTTTTTTTAAAGACTTCACTTTTAAGGGTTATATGTTTTTTTATTTATCACATATACAGTGTTCTGCCTGCACATATGCCTGCAAAACAGAAGAGGGCACAGACCTCATTACAGATGATTGTGAGCCACCATGTGGTTGCTGGGAATTGAACTCAAGAGACCTCTCTAGAGGAGTCAGAGGGTCCTTCCTCTCCAAAGACTCTAACTTGTGTCAAGTTTACATAAACCAGGCAGCACAGGCCCTCAAATGAATAGATCCAGATAACCTGGGTCAGAGGGTCTCCTCCTCCTGTGATATGTTGATTGTCTCTGGTAGACAAGAATTGCACACAGAGCTGCCATCCTAAGTGGGCTGTGTCCAGAGGATCTGCTTAGAATCAGGCAAAGAAATCCAGCCCCTGTTTTCCCCTCTGCTTTCAGTAATTCCCCACACTATCTGAGATAGCTGGGGATAATATTTCCTGGACTCTCTTATGGTACGAGGCTCCCCAGTCAGGTCTGGCCACTTCCACAGGGACAAATGGGGTAGAGAAACCTGAGTGTTTACTAAGGGACCACACCCTGTGTGTGGCCTTCCAGGGCTTTCTCTAGTGCAGCTTATCTCATGCTGATAAACTGCTTTCTTTCTGGAGCTCACTCTGCTCTCCACGCCAAGGACAGGCCAGGTCGTGCAGCAGTGTAAAGATTGGTGGGGTAATTGCCTTGGTCTTTTTCTCTTATGGCTTATGACAAGTGACTATCCCAGTGACAGGGGAGGTTTGGAAAGACATACAATGGGACTCCTACGTGGCAATCATTCGGATGCTGTGGGTGCCATGAAACTTACCTTGGGAACCTCCCATTTGAAATGATATCCAGCTGGAAGCCTCATTGAAAACCCCCTCAATTTCTTTCCCCAAACACAATGGAAGTAATCAGCATAAACCTACATGGGGGCGACCGTGAATCTCAATGGAAAATAAAAATATCAATGAAATAGTAGGTTCAAAAAGAGTTCACAGTTAAAGGAAGAGTTGCATGATGCTAAAACAAAACTATTTCCGTTGGAAGTTTACCAGGTAATTATGTAAGTCTCTCTTGCTGGTGCTGGCACCGGAACAAGAAAGGACCTTGTGTGTACTTGGGCAAGTGTTCTACCACTGATCTAAGCCCAGGGCACCACAAGCGTCATTTTTTTTTTTATCATTAGTTATTTCAAAAAATATTTTGATCATTTTGAAAGACTGAGACCCATAGACATTTCACTCTCCCCACCCCCCAAAAAATGGGACATTTTTGTTTCAACCAAGGGTCCAAAGTAGAGGCTGGGAGAGGTCAGTACAGATCAGAGCCTTCTCAACCACGTTCACACACAGTAAAAACTCCATGGGAACAATATGAAGGAGAGTCACACATGATACATTTTCTGTTCTCACTCCAACAAGTAACGTATAAACAGGGCCAGGGCAGGGAGATCATGGCCATTAGCGAGCTGGGCCTTGCTCTTAACTTTGCCATCTCCCTAGTCCCTTGTCCATGTGTTGTTGGATGTATGGCCTTCCACTGGAGAGTGGTTGTCTTAATTTCCTATCATAAAACGCCATGACCAAGGCAACTTATAAAGAAGATGTTTAACTTGGGGCTCCCAGCTTCAGAGGGTTAGTGTCCACGGTGGGGAGTGTGGTAGCAGGCAAGCAGGAAGGGCACTGGAGAAGTAGCTGACGGCTCACTTCTTGAGACCCAACACCAAAGCAGAGAAAGAGATACTGGGAATGGCAGGAATTTTTTGAAACCTTGAACTCGACTCTCAGTGACACACCTCCTGCAATAAGGTGACACTTCCTAACCCCCCCCACCCCCAACAGTTTTACTAACTAGACACTAAGTATTCAAACATATGAGCCTATGAGGGTCATTCTCATTCAAATCAACAGAGTGGTCAACTTGCCAGGGGTTACACTTTTGGAGAGAGTTGATTCTCCCTCTCCTGGTAGCTGTCAATAGCCAGTAGCTACTCAGTTAGGTGTGTGACTTTGCACCCATCTCAAGTCTCCATGCTGGGATTCTGACTGGGGCTTGAGTTTGCGCAGGCTCTGTGCATGCTGCTACAACCATTGTGAGTTCATATGTACAGCTACCCTGCTGTGTCCCAGAACACTGTTTCCTTATTCTTTTTTTTTTTTTTTTTGGTTTTTCGAGACAGGGTTTCTCTGTATATACAGAGCCTGCCCTGGAACTAGCTCTTGTAGACCAGGCTGGCCTCGAACTCACAAAGATCAGCCTGCCTCTGCCTCCCGAGTGCTGGGATTAAAGGCGTGCGCCACCACCGCCCGGCTGAACACTGTTTCTTTCTAATCATCCACCGCCTCTCACTGTTACAGCCCCTCACTTCTGCACTGGCCCCTGAGCTTTGTGTGTGCGTGGTACCGAGCACTTGGGGAAGTTCCATTTAGGCCCGAGCACTCTGTGGTCTCTTATTCTTTGCACCTTGACTAGTGGTAGGTCAATGCGTTAATCACTGCCAACCGTTAATGGAGTCTCCTCCAATGAGGGTTGAGAGATGCATCTAAGGGTATAATGCATCAGGAATCAGTTTAATACTGTGTCTGCTTAGCAGCATCAGAACAGTAGGTTTCCCCTTAGGGCCTAAGTCCTTTCTAGCCCCCAGTTCTTGGCCAGGTAATGGTGCCAGGTATGGGTTTCA